AAGTCCCAGTTGAAAACGAACGGCACGTGAGAGTCAGCTACTGAGTAACTAATGCAGTAACTCGTACGAAACGATAGCCATGCAAGACGACGAGGCTCCAATGAGCCGAATACGAGAAGGAGCTAGGGAGACCGAAACAGATGTCCTCAACGGAATGACATGCGAAGAGCGTGGCACACGGCAGCTGTATGTAAACAACGAGTTTACGGAGAACAGGTAATGGGGCATGGGCTTTTGAATCCTTCCATTCATTGTGCATTCAGTCCGTCAAGCTCTGCAAAGACAAGCAAAGGAGACAGTAGTAATGGCTGTCAATTTAAACAATTCATTTCGGTAATACATTGTCTCCCCTTCTAATTGAAACACTGTCCCCAGCGCCAGTGCAACTGGGACCCCAGCAAGGTTCCCTTCAGCTGGCACTTCTACAGTGTGTTCGACTATCTAAAGACAGCCGGGTGGTACGATTCCATCTACGGGCGTAGAACTTGAAGACGGTGTCATCAGTTTCAGTTGATTGTAATGAACGGTCAGTAGGTCGGCGTTTGGATCTGTAACGTTTCGAAGCACATACACAGGAGGCGAGTGTACGAACACAATCCCAAATGGTTCTTCTCATTCCCGATGGAATTTTCCTGGTACGCCAACTGGAGGTCTTGGTCGGTGTAGCCTTACACGGTCACCTTTCAGTATTCAGAGCCTCGACTTTGGCTATCATAATACTACTTCTGGCTGCGCTGCGCGCTGCTCATGTGCTCCTGCACGCTTTGAAAGACTACTCGGAGTCGCTCAAGGGTATCGCGGAGGTATTACGACATAGAGTAAGCTTTAACCGGACAGATAGGCGATAGTAATTCCACGGGTAAGCGAATCTCATGGATGAGAGTAAGGTAAGCTGGAGAATAGCCGGTTGTAGAGTGCACCGAGGTCTGATAGGCCATCATACATTGTGGCAATGCTTTGTCCTCCTGATTACACTGATGGCGTTCGACGAAGCTCTGTAGGATAGTCAAGATGGTCCTGTTGGTCCGCTCAACGAGCCCGTTTCTCTGTGGATGATACGGTGTAGCTTGTGTCTTTTTAATGGATAGCAAGCGGCACATTTTTTGAATTAGTTGACTCTCAAAAGCCGCGCCCTGATCGGAGTGCAAGGATATGGGTGCGCCGTAACGATGGTGGAAGCGACGGTGGATACATTTTGGCATCTGATAGGTAGTGCCTTGCACAACTTCCTGAAGTAATGTACCATAACTAGTATGAAGCAGTTCTCACACTGTTATCAGCAAAGGACCAATGATATCTACTCCAATTCGTTGCCCTGTTGCATCCAAAAGAGCACGAGCGACAGACACAATTGGTTTCAAAGTAACACAGAACTCACATGAAGCGCAGAATTGAACAACATCGGCGTGGATGCCCCTAGCGTTGACGAACTGCAGCCTCCGTCTTCAACTGGCCGGAATGGCCCAATTGTTGATGAAGTTTTTGTAGTATTCCAAGAGATCGGGTCATCGGAGTAATCAGTTTCGGACCGGATTTATGAACGTGCTACAGAACACCGTCGATGATGCTCAAGTCCTTCCAGTGACTGAGCAGGGGGCGCCCTTCTGTGGTGTGTTCACGAAGTTCAGTTACAGTGGGTTTCGAGGAGCCCTCCAGTTGTCGTTTGGTGTTAGTTATGTACGGGTCACATTCTTGCTCTTCAACCCACGAAATGCCGGTCTCTATAGTTACCAAAGCCGAATTGACCTGTTCGGATCTCACTAGCCTTGACAGCTCGTCTGCGTTAGTGTGCCGTGTCCCGGGACGATATTCGCAGGCAAAATCGTATTCTTGGAGTTGCTCCTGCCATGTTGCCATCTGACCCTCCGGCTCACGGAAGGCTTATAACCACTGAAGTGACTGGTGATCCGTACGAACCTGAAATGACTTTCCAAGTAGGTACGGCCTAAAATGTCATAAAAGCTAACCAGCGCCAGTAGGTCCCGTCGAGTGGTGTTGTACTTCCTCTCGCATTTATCTAAGCGGCGATTAGCGTAGATCACAACTTCACCTGACGGAGTTTAATGAGATAAAACTGCGCCGATCACTTCATCGCTCGTATCTGTATCCAGCACAAAAGCTCCCGACTCTGGTGAGGTGTCAGGGAAAGCCAAGATTGGGGGTGTCGCAAGAGGAACTTTCGGCTCTGCAAAAGCACTCTGATACTCGTTAGTTCGGCAGAATTTTCGTCCCTTTTCAGTTGAAGCATGTGAGTGGGTTGAGATGGCCGCAAAATAAAAAATAAACTGTCGATAGTACGAAGTCAATCCCAGGAAACTTCTGAGTCCTGCTATCGTTATAGGTTGTGGCCAGGAGGCAATATTTTCACATTTGGCGGGGTCGGTCCTCACACCTTTATGGGATATAATGTGCCCCAAGTATGCAGGAGAAAGTGACATTTTGTATCCAGTAGTTTCAAACTCGCCACGCGCAGGCGATCAAGTACGAGGCGCAGCCGTCGATTATGCTCCCCAATTGATCGCCCAAATAAAGTTAGCAGCTACCGGGTGTCAAACCTTCCAGGGCTTTCTGCATTAGTCTCTGAAACGTAGCCGGAGTATTAACCAGACCAGAAGTCATCGGTTCAAATTCATATGGACCGTTGGAAACAGTGCAAGCCGCTTTCTCATGGTCCTCGGGTCCTACTTCTACTTGCCAGTAGCTACATGCAAGGTCCAACGTAGAAAACCAGCATGAACCATGGAGTGTATCGAATGTGGCATCGGTGTGTGTGTGTGTTACCTCGTTAAGCTTTCGATAATCAACGTAAAGATGCAAGGTCCCGTCTTTTTTCTGTACTAAAACGATTGGCAACGGCCACAGTGACGACGAAGGTCGAATGATACGTTTGTCCAGCATATCTCTGATCATTGACTCCAACTGCGGTTCGTAATGAACCGGCAACCTGCGCGCATGTTGACGAAAAGGTCGATGGGACATAGTGTCAATCTCATGTTCAACTAGGTTCGTACGGCCAGGAAAACCAGCTATAGAAAACCCCACAAAATCTCGTAGCATTGAGATTAACTGGTCAGTGTTGTCGTTGGTAACGTTAGCGCGTCCAACAATTGGCTCATTAACCTCCTTTTGGAAATGCGATGTTACTGAAGTCATGGCCGCGATAGTGAACGGTCCTCAACCGTCCTGCTAATGATCAATGACGGTTGGCGCGGGACTCCAATACGGTCCCGCATGCAAGTGCAACTGTACAACCACGTCGGGTAAAGAAATAAATTCCCAAAATAACGTCCAAGGTCAAATTTCGACAAGCTATAAACTTATGAGTGGCTGTCATCCCCACAAGTTTTACGCGTGCAAGTAGTGCGAACTATGTTCGCAACTCGGCCCCGTTGGCGATGACAACACGAGTCTGCTGGCTTGTAGCCGTGTGGGCGTTCCTAAGGTGGTGGGCGATATTAAGTCGAAGTATAGAGCACGTAATAATAATAATAATAATAATAATAATAATAATAATAATAATAATAATAATGTGTCAGCTGTACACCGTAACGGCGCTTCGCTGTCGTGCGACCAATACCAGCCGCGCGCGGGCTGTGTATACCGCGAGGACGCCCACCTCTACGCGGATTCGAACCGGTGACCTTATGGTTGCAAACCAAACACGCAGACCACTCGGCCACCGGCCGGGTATCGTCAATGGATTACAGTGTGAATTGCTAGTGAAGGCAGATGCCAAAAACTGATCATTGTGCAAAGCTGACCTACCTCGGGGTTTACGAAGAACCATAGGTGGGTTGTGACCACAGCGCCGGGCACGTCTGCCGAACCGCTGACAGTATACGGAGCTCACCACGGGGGATTTTCGTGCCGGGGAATGGCGTTTGTGATCAGCTGCGGGAACGTTATAACGTTCCGACCATCGACTATAGTCGATGGGTGTAAAGTTGAAAAACGGTTGTGACCAAGATGGCTACGGTCGGTATTGACATGCACCAGAAATTCCTGATTCGTGGCCTTTTCCAGAATCTTCTCCAGTGAACGATGAAGTTTTAACGCATATTTGTCAGGGAGGTATTGGTCGCTTGGGCCCATCGCGAACCTGTCACATATCTACTTTTCCTGCTCTACGTACTGAAGACATGGAAACCCTTTGTGAACCCAAATTCGGAGAGTTGCGAAAAAGGCATCTGCGTTCTCCGAGGGTAGCTGACGTCGAGTGAAGAATGCGTCACGGTAGCATGCAACGAGGTGGCTTTTGGAAAACAAACTTCGGAGAGTGGACCAGATCTTTCCCACAGGTGAAGTAGCTGGTACGCTGGTTGTTAGGAAAAGCTGCAACGCTTTTTCGTTTAAGAAACAGAATGATCAAGCCGAGTGACTTTTCTGACGCTCCAGAGAGGTAGCCAGTGACTTGAAAGTACCAGCTTTCAAATTCGTCACCGGGGCTGAAAATACGCGGGTAGCGACCAAAAGATTTGATCTGCAAACATGTTTCTCGGACACAACACTCGATCTTCGGTGGGCTGAAATCACATTTGCTCATACTTGTAGAACTGCCCGCGACGCCAATTTGTATTATGTCCCATAGGGCAGGTTCGAGGCACGCACGAGAAATGCCAGCTGCAAAGGAACGGCACGTGAGAATCAGCGACCAAGTAACTAACGCAGTAACTCGTACGAAGCGATAGCCATACAAGACGACGATGCGCCAATGAGCCGAATACGAGAACGAGCGAGCAGGACCGAAACAGATGTATTCAACGGAGCGATATGCGAATGTAATATTCCTCCGATCTGGCGTTCTAAGCTCTTCCGTGTCCAAGTTGTGCGACAAGCTGCAATGCAAAATAAATACCTCGTAGACGGCTGAACGCTCAACCGCCTAGTAAGAGGCCGATGTAAGGGAGGCAGCTAAGGAAGCATGGAAGAGGGGAAGTAAAAGTGCCAGGGATGAATGGGAAGGTAAAGATAACAGGAAGCAAAATCGATCGACCTCTTACCTGTTAACGTGTTACCGTGACGCCCGCGAACCGGCAACACGAAAAGCGTAGTGTAATATACGTCCGATCGAGGGTTCCGAGGGCTTCCGGTTCCGTGGGCGTACGTGGGTCGTAGTAGACCGAGTGGGCTAGAAAGAAAAGGAGACACTTCGTAGGCGGCTGTAGAATCACCCAGTAAGTGTCGGAGCTGGATGAACAGGGTGATGCTGTCACATTTGGTGGCTAACCGGGCGGTACTGTCACAGCTGCCCGTAGAGGACCGAGCGCGAGGCGACTAGATGGATGGTGTGAAAGCGCACGATAGGTGCCTACTCCAACAAGATAGAAGACGAAATGGAGAGGTAAAGAGAAGAGGAAACGACGCTCACAATAAACGCTACGCTCGATGACAACTTACTTGTTGACCTGTTACTGCGACACTGACAGGCTACACGTGGAACAAAGCAGGTAAGTATACAAACAATGATACTCATACAAGACGACGATGCTCCAATGAGCCGAATACGAGAACGAGCGAGCGGGACCGAAACAGATGTATTCAAATGAGCTATATGCGAGTTTAAGTTCAAGCGGAACTGGAACGATAGGATTATCCCGTGAGTGTTCCTTCCTCAACGGGTCGTTGTACCAAGAGATGGCAGACTTTGAAATATTGATGGACCTAAAACAAAGACCGCATCACACCCTGTCCAACCAAGTAATGCCCACGTATCCTGCCCTAGCAGTCACTGCTGGTCCGGTCCCGTGAAGTAAGAAAAAAAAGTAAACTCAGAAGGCATAAAGAGAAACTGGAAAGAGTTGAGCGATAGAATACCAAGGTATTCGAGTCACTAAAAAGAACTTTAAAGTGAAGGTAAGCCTGTTAGGAAAAAGGAAAGGTTTACTGTTGCCACCCAAGAGCATCGAGCTGGAGCGCAAAACCTTTAAGCGTAGGTTCCCTAACCACGTGATCTGAAAGCGAATTCCAGCGATCTATAACGGCGAGATAGACGACTTTCCGTCCTAAACCTATCAGACCGTAGTTCACGCAGTCTGTAGAAGCCTTCAAAAGGGGCTCAGATGAGTGTTGGCCTGCCCATTTCTCACTACAGGACGGGAATCTCGGATTAGGGAAGAGCAGGCCGGTTTTCGCCCATGACGTGGCTGTATAAACCATATATTTACTTTGCGGCAGGTGCTTGAGCAGCGCCATGCATATCGCAGACCGACAATAGCTGTGTTCCTCGATTTCAAGAGTGCGTTCGATTCAGTCGATCGATCGATTCTGTTCGAATTACTTGCGCGAAAAGATGTTCCCACGAAATATGTGAACATCCTTCGTGCTCTATACTCGAACACTACAGGCCGCGTCAGGGTCTATGGTGTCCTATCGGATAGCTTTTCGACTACAAGTGACGTTCGTCAGGGTTGCCCGATTTCCCCGTTTTTGTTCAATTTCGTCGTGGATTCTATCATGGAGTGTTCCCTTGCGGAATCTCACGATGTAGGCGTTGAAGTGCTGTATGGTGAAACGTTAGTTGATCTAGATTATGCGGACGATACCGTCTTGCTTTCCGACAATGTTGAGGCAGCACAACCAACCCTGAATAGCCTATCCAGAGTGGTCCCATTATTTGGTATGCACTTCGCACCTTCAAAGTGCAAAGTGTTGCTGCAGGACCACCAGCCACTTGATGACCCCTTGACGCTTGCTAACGAGGAACTCGAGGTGGTTGATCAATTCACTTATCTTGGCAGCTGCATCAGCATTGATGGGCGCATAGAAACTGATGTGAGCTCACGCATTGCAAAGGCCAGAGCTGCCTTCTTGAACCTGCGACATCTTTGGCGACAGAAGGAGTTTCCCTCCGTCTGAAAGGCCGTGTATACAAGGCCACAGTGAGGGCCGTTCTGCTGTATGGTAGTGAAACTTGGCCCCTTCGGTCTGAAGATCTGAGGCGCCTTCAAGTCTTTGATCATCGTTGTTTGCGAAGCATTGCTGATGTCGGATGGCACCAGCGTGTCCGCAACGATGATGTGCGTAGGCGAGTACTAGGTGGTGATAATCATGCTAGCTCCCTAGAACAACAGATAGCACTGAATAAGTTGCGTTGGCTCGGGCACGCTACGCATGCCTGGTCACCGCTTACCTAGGAGGGCCTTGTTCAGTCTACCAGGTGTAGGATGACGCAAGGCTCGAGGTGGACAGAAGTTGACTTGGCAGCGTGAAATGAAGTCACTGACGACCAAACTGGGTGCGGTTGGTCCGTCTCGCCTTCCGGGTTGGAGTCCACGTGACTCACCTTGTGCTTGGCTCGAGACTTCACAGGACATGGCTCGCAACCGACACCAGTGGCGCATCTGCTGCCGTCTCCTAATCGGATTGTCTGTTTAAAGTGTGTTTGGTGCTGAGTTATCTGCGGGGTAATGGCTGATTATGACGCGTGGCAGTGAAAGCCGCAAGGAAGCTGTCTCGCCGATGCCGCCTTACCTTTGCACGAGAGCTAGCTGTTTGTGACGGAATGTTGTCTACACAAGGTGTAGGCGCCTTGACCCTGAATGTTTGCTTAGGGCATTAAGGTTTTCAGGTAAGTCCCCCTTCTCTCCCTCTTTTTATTCTTTATTTCATAGGTCCTCATGGTTGTATGGCAGCGAAGCATCAGTTCAAATGGCTGATGTACTGCTGTTGATGATGATGCCCATTTCTCAGATATTTTGTAATTGTACAGGAAAATGTAGTGTATTTTGATGCTGACACATGAAAATGAAAAGACTGCTTTTGTTCTTGCCTCATTCCTTTGCAGAAGCAAGAAGAATCAAGCGAACGTCGAAGTACCGGGGGCCGCTTCACATACCGGCACAGGAAACAGAACGCTCGTTAGGTGAAGGCCTTTATCGTCCACTGTACCTAAACTGACCAGTTTCAGTGGGTGAGCGCGGAGATTAAGTAACGTAGAGGGACTAAGTAGCCCTGACAAGTCCGGGCCAATCTTACCCGTCAAAATACGATAAGTGAGAATCAGGTCCCCTCTTATCCTTCGGTAGTGCATTGAGTACATCCCCAAACTGAGCAAGCGTTCAGGATACGTCTATCCCTGTGGACACTGCACTAACCGAGTGCCCACTAGTAATACGCACTTCCATTTCATTTTGTCTTGGATAAAACATGGTGGACAAACCTGAATACAATATTTAAGGTGTGGTCGGTCGAGTGCAGAGAACAGCTTCACAAACAAATTGGCCGTTAAGATTCCAAAAGAACGGCAGATAAACCACATCATACGGAACCCCCGACAAGCAGCCTTCTTCCAATTGTCACCAGAATGAAGTGCTGATGGGTGTATGACCCCTAAATCAACCTGCTGATTGACAACAGGGAGTTCACCACCGCCGACAACATATCGGGTGGGAGGATTAGCAGCTCCGATTCGGAGAACAGAGCACTTGGCCCTATTTATGGGCATCAACCATAAGGTAGACCATTCGCAGAGCCTATCCAAGACACGCTGAATTGCCTCAGGACCCCCTGGGACATCCACAATATTCCAGCTTAAGGTCGTCAGCAAACATTAGTGATGACACCCGTAGCTCTCCCGGCAAGTCATTTACATAGATCGCGAACAACAATGGCCCCAAAGCCGAGCCCTGCGGGACGCCACTAAGGACAGCTTACCTGAGCGAAATGCTACGCTCCACCCGTACGCACTGTTCCCTCCCCTCAACGGACGCAGACACCTAGTGAAGGGTGTGACCAGATATCCCATAAGATCTCAGCTTGAGTAAGAGTCGGAGATGTGGAAGTGTCAAACGCTTTCGAGAAGTCCACGAATAGCACGTCTAAAACTTGCCCACTGTCTACCGCTTCGGCCCAGCTAACAAGCGGACCGAGATTCTAACCAACCGGTTCAAGTAGGACTGGAACGATAGGATGAATCCCGTAAGTGTTCCTTCTTGAGCGGGTCGTCGATCCAGTTGATAGGCGTGCTCCGACTTCTTGTTGGATCTAAAACGAAAACACCCGAAAAAAACACCCGGGTACACCAATTTAACGCCCAAGTTCCTTAAATTAGCTGTCCCAGCTACGTCAGTTACGTGGAGACGAGAAATGGAAGGTAAAGAGTAAGAGAAATCAATTAAAGAAGAGAATAATGCCATTGGTGAGGGAAAGTACAGAAAATAGAATCGAAGTATGAAGATGGGAATTAGTCAGGAAAAAGGAAAGGTTTCGTGTTGCCACCCAAGAGCATTTGGTTGACGCTCAAACCACTTAACCGCAGCTCCCTTGACAACATTTTCTGGAAGCAAGTTCCAGCGATCGATGACTCGACGCGATAAGCGTGTCTCCGCTCTAACTCGATCGGACCGCGGTTTGTCCAGTTTCATACAATTCCCGCAAAGACCAGATAATCTAGCAGGACTAAATAGCCAAGACAAATCCAGACCAACCTTCCCAGTCAAAATATGGGGTAGGTTAGGATTAGGTCCCCTCTAATCCTTCGATAGTGCATTGAATGCATCCCCAAACTAAGTACACATTCGGGGTACGTTTGTCCTCGTAACCCCTCGACCAATCTAGTACCGACACGCAACAACCTTTCTAGTGCCATTTTGTCCCGGACAAGGCATGGTGGACAGGCCAGGACGCAATATTCTAGATGGGGTCGCACAAATGCTGAGAAGAGCTTCATAAACAGATTAGTGGTTACGGTCCCAAAAGAACGACGGATAAACCACAATATCCGGAACCCTTTACTAGCCGCCTTCTTCTAGTTGTCTCCAGAGTGTAGTGTGGAACAGTGGACGACACCTAGATCAACCTGATGAGTCACGTGAGGAAGTTCACTCCCATCAAGCACATAACTTGTGGAGAAATCAGACGCTCCGATACGCAGCACTGAACACTTTGCCCGGTTAATGGGCAGCAACCACAAGACACCATTCCCAGAGTCTATACAGAGCCCGTTGAAGAGCCACAGGACCTCCAGGGATATCAAAAATATTCCAGAGCTTTAGGTCATCAGCAAATAAGAGCGATGGTACCTCAAGCTCCCCAGGTAAGTCATTCACGTAGACTGAGCACATCAGCGCACCTAGGACAAAGCCTTGCGGAACGCCGCTAAGGACAGCCTGTCGAAACGAAAGACTGCTTC